GAGTTGAGAAGTTTGCCCATTGTTCCTGCTCAAGAAGCAATGACCCTACAGGTGGTTCCCCTGGGACACGTGCAGAGGGACGGGTGGGGGTGGCAGCAGGAGGGTGAGAAGATGAACTTGTTTCATGTCCAGTATAATGTTAGGATATAACTGATTCACAGAAATGCAGAGTGGCTGTAGCACAAGGGCGGAATGATTACATCACGTACAAGCAGAGGCAGTTGCAATCTTATTTTTGTATCCTAAACGAGGGAAACATGAACATGTACATAAATTAATCAGTGTGAGGGACTTCACTACCAAGAGTCAGAATCGTCCTGTGTCTGCAGTGGTGAGCTCCTCCTTCCAGCTGGTTGGGAGCTAAAAGACATTAGCTGAGAAACAATAACCTGAAGACAATAGTTCCATTAAAATGGAACAAGCGTGCCTAACCCTTCTGATGTCATTTGATTTCAGTCATAAAAGAGGAAACTAACCAGAGTGAAATGGCTGAAGACCTGTGCAAGATAGGGTCAGAAAGATCCCTCGTGCTGGATAGACTAGCAAGTAACGTCGCCAAACGTAAGAGCTCTATGCCTCAGAAATTTGTTGGTAAGAGTTAAACGTTTGCTGTCTCCTAAAAAATAAAACAAAACAAACCTCAAAAAGCATCTCACAGGATTTTTACTTTTGCTTTATGATTTTACTTGTTTTACTAAATTAGCAATATCTATCTCTGTAGAAGCAGATACAGCAATGTGTTGGGGGAAAACAAACAAACAAAACCAAACTTCTCCAGCACATATTTCTGCATGTTTAATTTTCCACATCTGGAGATCGATTTTAAGTCTTTTTCCTGTCTTTTTCTAATGCTTACGAACCAGATCATTATAAGATCTGGGCAGGCTTTTGAAGTTGCCGTAACAAGCTGAAGATAGGAATAAAAGTTTCCTATTGGGAAAGCATTTGACCACACATTCAGGGTTACTTTATTAACTTCTTGGATGACATCTAGATCTGGGCAGACTGGTGTTTGTGGAAGCATTTGTGAAGAATTAAGCATAGGCTGGATAATATTCTTCACCCCTTCATAAAGCCTGTATACATTTACAGCCCAAAATGGTCATGGAAATAAATAAACCTAGGTCTGAGAATAATACCTAAATGAAAAGATATTTGAGTACATTCTCAAAATGATGCAAAAACTTCATGCCCGTTTGTACCTAGCAGTTCTTGTCTTAACAATGAAAAAATTAGGCTACACCTATATTGTTCTGTTTGATAGGCCTGTACCAAGTAGTGGTTACATCAGTTTTGTAATACTGAGACCCACAGGCAATATTTTGTCAGCTATGAAGAGTTAGTCTTAAATGGATAAAAACATGGGAGATCGGAGGACAGCACATACTTGTATCATCTCATTAGATTCTTTTATAATTCTCTGCACATTAATTTATAATATTATTCTATAGGAAACAATCAGAAAAAATTGAAGTCTTTGAACAAAAACACACATTAAGAAGGTCTTCAGTCAAAAGTCAAGGCAAAAAAAGACCAGTTTGTGGGACAGAAATTTCAAATACACCTTCTTCAATGAGGACACAAACTGAAAGGATAGTTAGTATTTCTGAGACAAGGAAAGGGGAATCTCAGCTACGTCAGGAGGTGCAACAAAAGGTTTGAAATGAAAGTCCAAGATTGTCTTCGAGTCCAAAGGCAACAATTCCAGGAGGTGGTCAAGGATAAGAAATGCTTATGCTTATAAAAGGACAAAAGTTGTAGTAGAGGTAGTTACCAAAAAGTATATCAACTATGTGAGGCAAACCTGATTCATTTAGACACTCTAGTAACTGATTGCATTAGGCAAAATACTAATTCTGTGAAAGCTCCAGGAAGACCAGAAGTGTTAAAATTGAAAAGACATTAGCAAGTATCCTATATGTGATGTATTCGTGGGTGTGGACTAGCTTTTTTGTTCTCCTTTTCTCTCTTCACCCTGAGAAACAGTAAAGACAGCCACTTGAACTACGAGTTTTAGGAGGGCAGAGTTTCCTGTCAGTTAGTTATTCAGGGTGCGGTGTAGGAAGACAACCTACTGACAAACAGATATTTATGGAAATTTGTTAACCTTCAAACTTTTCTGACAATAAAATGCCCCCAAATTCTTTCCTTTCCCATCCTCACCTGCTGCTTCATGTAATAGGTGCATTCCTGATTAACACAAGGTTGGGCTGGCTGGTTAGGAGAGCTTTTGGGTAATAAAACATGTTTATTGCCTGTGGATTACCATGTCATCCCAATCCCCGTACTGAATTCCAGGGAGAAAGAGCAAATGACATCCTTCGCATAAGGGAAACACTGCCTGCTACTTCACTCGATTTTCTCAAGGCTAAATTCATTATCTTTCAAAAGCGAGATTGTTCACCAAACTAAGCCAGTTATCTGTAAAATTCTCTCTGTATTCCAAACTGGAATAGCTCCCAGACCCAAAAGCAGAACTGGGCCATCCAAACTAGAGAGTGAGAACTGCAGGTGAGGTTGACATGTATTTATCATGTTGAAACAATAGGCAGCAAAGAAAAGAGAGGGGTTAAAAACAAAAACAAAAACAACAAAAAAAAAGAAAAAAATGCCCACATGCCCTGAGTGCATTTTTACTATTTAGGTACCTACTGCAGAACCCTGAGCTTGAAGTGCATAAAACCATTAGCAGTTTAATTTACTTATGCTCTAATAGCCACAGAAATGAGCTATTATTTTTAATGAGTGCAAGTATTACCTGCATTGCCCAGATATAGAAATGATACCTGCCTACCTCAAGTTTGTGTCTGTTTCAGACACTTGGCTTGGAAACAAATTTTTCTTATGAGTACTCAGTCCAACTACCAACTAGTTATGCTAGATAAAGCAAATACTACCCAAGAAACAGCTATTAAAATCATGCCTTCTGGATGCCCAAAATTTTGTGTATAATGACAACCAGCCCCACTTTTCAGTGGTATACAGTGTCCATGGAATATAAACAGTTTTGACCTCTTTTTTTCCTCCTTGAGTCTCGGGTATACATTCATATTAGGAGAGTTTTTCTATATTTAATTCAAGAGCCTTTCACAGCACCTACTTTGAATCTTAAGCCTCAAACTCTGCCTGAAAACTATAGCAGCATTAGAAAGGGTAAATCTGGAAGAAAAAAAGAATGCACCCCAGTAAAGCGGTGCTCAAATTGGCAGAATAACAGGGAAAGGAAACAAGAAGAAGTAGAAGCTTGTGCAGCGCAGCCCGAAGGTGTCTGTACCCTCCATCCCTCATAGGAACTTACGCAATGCTCAGAGTGTTTCTTTCTCTGCTCGTGCGAAACCACGTCTTGTGGGAAACGTAGACAGCAGGACTTTCTGCGCTTCAGCTCTGTCACTGCAATAGTGTCACGCTGGAGGTTTTCTGGGCTCTTCGCTGACTTTGAATAGTCAATTTGAGTAGAAACTGGGCGGGAAATTGTTGATAAATTGATCTGCACATCTTCTGGTAAATTTTCCATGCTCCTATTAGCATTTCTTTTAGATTAATTAGGACTTTCCAAGGCCTACGAGTATATGTCATGTTGATCGGGAAATGGTGACAGCACCTCATAGAGATATTTGTGGCTTTCAATGAATTTCCCAAAATCTGCAGAGCTAGAAAATCCGTCACAAGTGTAAACAATGTGTTGCTGGTAGTCCTTAGGAACCTGTAGGAATTTTTCAGCCCTTTGCATTTGCACAAATTTATTAGGAGCCTGATGATTACGTTGATGGTTTACACTGTTTGAGAAGACTGTTCAGGTTCATAAAATAGTTTTAAATAGTTTCTCCCACTCCCAGCTTTTACCTTCTATGTTTTGCTTAATCCTATCTGTCCAGAAATTTTGAGAAATTGTAGTGAAACTCAGCGTGCAATTCTAGGGTAGCCAGCTAAGAGATACCTTAGCGCAGTCTGATTTAAAAAAAAATTAAGTGTCCCGCACCCCACCGCCCCCTTACTTTTGGCATCTCAAATCAGAGTTGAAGTTACAGGTAACATGTAATCTTGCTCTGTATGGGGCTTTTTACCTCCTAGGAAAGATGTATTCCAACTACAAATGCACTGAAATTTTTTCCTTGGTCCTTGACTGCTCCTGTAGATGATAGCTTTTTGACACAAATTTTCTAGGAACATGAGTAGGTTCTGGTAATGTGTCTAACTTATGGCTTATTTAAAAAAACAAGGTGTGGGGGGAAGTGGCAATATGAAAAGTTAAGGTTTTGTTGATTTTTCTCCGAAATGACAAATGACCACATTTCTGATGTGGGTTATTTGTAAGAAACTGAAGGTCTAAGACTAAACCATGTGATTTCCAGTCTCAAATTGTAATGTTTTAGGGAAAAATATTGATAACGTGCTTCGTGCTCTGAAGCACGAAGGCCAGACTCACTGTAACTGTGCTGGTACGCTGTCTTCTCTAAAGACAAAGGCAAAGCCTCAGCTCACTGTAGGATGCAAATGAGGGAGTTCAGTTAGAATGGAGAAAGAGAAGATGAAGGGCTTGATCTGTAGCTCCCATGAGTCCCCATATAATTATTTCCAGAATCCGTTTTCATCCATTTGCTTGCCCAAAGACCTCAAGTTATTCTGCAGGTTAAAAAAACCCCACCAAACAACCATTTTTCTGACCAGCAATATTAGAGAACTGTGAATACCTCATGTGAATTTCAGAGGTGGATTTGATCAACTCTTTTCTCCCGTGTTGCTGTTCTATTGACCCATGATGTTTGGTTCCTTAAGTATGTAGAAATCAACCCTCTAACTCCTGGCTCTTCTTCACCGCAGGTGAGAAGTGTCTGCCCGATCTTCCATACGATGCCACCACCAACTATGAGAAGGAGAACGAGATAATGCAGACGCACGTTATAGACCAGGCCATTAATAACGCCATCAGTTACCTGGGGGCAGAGTCCTTACGTCCCCTTGTCCAGACACCTCCAGGTGGTTCTGAGGTGGTGCCCGTCATCAGCCCCATGTATCAGCTCCACAAACCTCTCGGGGACAATCAGGCTCGCTCCAACCACACAGCTCAGGACAGCGCAGTGGAAAACTTGTTGCTGCTTTCCAAAGCGAAATCTGTCTCCTCCGAACGGGATGCCTCTCCCAGCAACAGCTGCCAAGACTCAACAGATACAGAGAGCAATAACGAGGAGCGCAGTGGTTTAATTTACCTGACAAACCACATAGGTCCCCATGCAAGAAATGGCATCTCTATAAAAGAAGAAAGCAGGCAATACGACGTCCTGAGGGCAGGTACTGACAATTCGCAGGATGCTTTCAAAGTGATCAGCAGCAATGGGGAGCAAGTGAAAGTTTATAAGTGCGAACACTGTCGAGTCCTTTTCTTGGATCACGTGATGTATACGATCCATATGGGCTGCCACGGGTTCCGTGATCCTTTTGAATGCAACATGTGTGGCTACCATAGCCAGGACAGGTACGAATTCTCCTCCCACATAACTCGAGGGGAGCACCGCTTCCACATGAGTTAAAACTCCTCCAGCACCGATCTAGCCTCAAGAGCTGCGTTACTTGGAGCTGCACGAGCCACGAGAGCAACAAAGCACAAGTCAGCTGGACAGTAAAAGTAACAGGAGAATCAAACGTTCAGATATCTTCTCCCACAAGAAAAGATTTTCCTTTTGGTAGCATGCATTGTAACTCAGTTTTCTAAAATGAGTACTAAAGTTTTTACTGAAAATGTTTGATCACCAAAAACCTTTAGTAATATAAGTAGGAGCTTTTGTAGTCACATAGCTGAAAGCCCTTCCCTTAACTGATGCTTCTTGCAAACCTCCCTTGCCAACACTGTTAACCACGCGCAGGATGCACCACGCGGACGAGGACGCGACAGGCAGGAGTGGCCGAGCTTTCTCTCTTAACACCCTGAGCGTAGGGCTCTTACACCAGATGTATGGTTTTTGACTTCCTGGTATTAGTTGACTCTTTGGGGAAAATTCAACAACTCGACTAAAGATGGAGGGCCCCATCTCAGATGACTTCACAGACAGCTGGGGTGGGACGGGATCCCCCAGCCAGAGGGCCCTGAATTGCTTTGGTGGTACAAAGTAGAACGTTTCCATCTGCAAGGGTGCTGCTGGTACTGACATCACAGCATGCCTTGTTTGTGTCACTAGGCAGGCAAGCAGGTATGTGAAAGGTAGAAGAAACACCCTTGTAATATACTCTGTGAAGTATGAATTGCATTTAATGTATAGAAAAAGGGTATTGTTGGGTCTTCTTTGAATAAATGTTTTCTCTCCCTATCCAATAAAACCCCACTTTTTGTTAAGCAACCCCTCCTCTCGCTGCATAAACAAGTTACAATATATTTAATTTTTCTTTCTTTCTTTTTTTTTAAGTTTTAGTTATTTGGAAAAGTATGATGTGCAGTTGAGAAAAGCACTAGCTAGAAATATGTGTGGGGAAAGTCTCCTTATGCACATTTTTCATCTTTTTAGACTGCCTGGAAAATATCCAAATGTTCTTCTCTTATATATATAAAAAAAAAAAAAAATCCCATTTTACCTGCATAGAAGATGTCCTCTTGTAGATTTTGTGGCTCTACTCATAAGTGTTGCACTTAATTATTTCTAAAGCACTGAGCTGAATTAAACCAGCCAGTCGAAATTTGTAGCCTTCTCCCTTTTTCCTGGCACTTGCTGTTTAATGAGGGACCAAGCCCCGCAAAGGTGCCGAGAACCCTAGCTTCCTATTCAACAAATCATTTCACCAAGTGCTTTAAGTTACTTTTACTTCAGTGGAACTAATCTTAAGGTTAAAAAAAAAAAAATAGTGTTTTGCTGAATGGAGATCAGGGACTGCAGCACTTTGCAGAGTGCAGTAAAATCCACCAAGAGCTTACTCCATGGCAGGTTCTGCGGCAGATACTGTAATTTCAGTTAGAATAAAAACTTCTATGATTGATAGATTTTAACCCTGAATACAAATGATAATAAAAAAATATATTTTTAAAAAATTTTCTTCTAAACTTCCTCTTCCAAATAGTTCATTCCTCTCCCTGAACACCCTTGTACTTTAAGATTAGGCAAAAAAGAAATTTTTGCAGCTGCATAAAAATCTGTCATCAGTGCTGTGATACTTCCTGGGCAACATTTGTAAAAAAAAAAAAAATCGTATTAACTTAATGTATAAATACTTCCACTCTGCATAATAAATGAGTATTCTCCAATAAACACGATCATGTAACTGACAAGACTGGCAGTCTTGTCATACAGTTACACGTTCTCCATTCGTAAGTGCACGCAAGCACATATATTTATTATAAAAGAAAATCAGTGGAACCATTAATGCTTGTTCCTAGGCCAATTTGGCCTGATACGTGTAGCTATATTTGATGTACATTTCCTATATATACATACTATTACAGGCACGCAGAGTTCCTTCTTCTGCTTTCACTTTTGCAGGTGTAAGTCAGGAGCAACAACGCCGAAGTCAGAGGAAAGATACGGATGAAATAATGAATTGCACATACATGCTTTTACAGTATCTCATGTCTTAGCTTTTCATGCCAGCCGTAAGAGGCTTACTTCACGTGGCACGTGGGCGCAGCGGTGTTTCTACGCTGGGAGTGCGGGCGCGCACGCCTGTTTAGCAGCTTTGTCACCAGGTCTGAGCTGCGTGTGCACGTCCGTAGGCTGGCGCGTGTACCCACCTCCGCGAGAGCAGATCAGCGGTACATGCTAGGCAGGCTAGGACATACAGGATGGCCAATGACCCCCCAAAAGATGAGTCGTGTAAACTGTAAGGTGATCCCCTCTACGCCCGCATTGTAGCTCAGTTACCTTAGGAAAGGTTTTTGCTGGTTACCCCCAGCCCGAGGCACGGCCGGGGTGGGCACAAGGAGTCCTCCACCGCCGTCACCCCCCGCCTACGGTTTTGTCCTCAACGCCTGCTGCGCGCGTAGCTTCACGGCAGACTGTACGCGGCAACGAGGCGCTACCAAATATTTTGTATAGGAATGACCTGAAGAGGACCTTCAAGGGGGGGAGCTTACGGTGATGAGTTTCCTTTATTTATTTATTTTTAAATAAAGTTGAAATGGGTTCCCTTTTTCATAGCTGGTAGGGATGCAATTTAGCTGTTCTTACCCCTCTCCACTTTCGACTGATACCAACCAAGAAGGGACAAAGTAATTTCCCAGCCCTGCTGCAACATCCTGCGTAAAGTCAGATGTTGGCTGTACAGAAACGTTCTGCCCTTATTGCTCTTATACCTCTTTCCTACTGCTCTTAGATTTAGGCCACTTATATACATCATGCCGTAATTTTTTTTTAACCCTTTATTTTAAGACACCCCAAGCTATAAAGGGGAGGGGGACAGAAGCTTGCTCAGGTGGTTTTGTTTCTTCGCTTTTACTAAAATCCAACACAAATAAAGCCACGTTCACTAACCAGGTACACAAGCACAGCTCCAGTGGAGTTTAAGGCTGTCTTGAACTTAGTTTTTAAATGTGATTTCTGATAGCTGGGTAGGTTCACTGCCTTTGCAACATCCCTGTGCACGCATGCACGTGGATGAGTTTCTGTGTCGCTTTTCTTGTCGACAACATGCACATGCCCTATCTGTGGTTTTGTGTATCGTTAATATTTTATATGCATACGTATGTGTATATAGATCTAACATGGTTCATATGACGTGATGATGCACCGTCAGTCACGGTGGGTTTGTTTCCTGGGTCTGGAGTTTTCTTATTTATACTATAAGAGAATATGTTGATGTTGTATATTAAACAGTATAGTAGTATAAGTAAGTATATTAAGACACGGTGTATCAGAGGGCATAGTCTAAAGGCAGGAGCAAGCAGCATTCTCTGTTCATGAAGGAGCTTTTTTAGGTTTGCTTTTTTTCAGTGGTTTTTTTTCTTTTTTTGCACAAAATCATCTTCAATTTGTTTGGAAACAAGTGTTTCAGTAACTTTATTTATGAACATATGTAAGGATGGCATGAAAATAGGATGTTGTGTGTGTGTACATCAAAACAAACTGTGCCCTCAGAAAAATAGTTTAGTGTAATATGCCTTTTTCTCTGTTTTTTGGTTTGTTTTTTTTTTTTTTTGCTATGGTGCAATACCCTGATATGGTTTAGCTGAACCCTAAAATGAGTATAATATGGTGAATGGCTTTAAGTTTATATCTGTTTTTAAAAAGAAAAAAATAGTCGCTTCCCAGCCCTTCTCCCAGACACCGCCTTTTCTTAATAGAAAAGTTGTATTTACACACTTTTTTCCCCTGTGATTTTATATTGTAACTTCATTTTTCTTTGAGAATATTGTATTTAAAAAACCCAAGCAAATTTCATAAAAATTGGAAATGTTATTAAATTATGTCTGCAAAGTGAGATGTATCTTTTAAGACAAGAGAACATGGTAAAAAAAAAAACCCCACAAAACCAAACCCAGAACATTTCTGTCACTCTCTGAGCGGGTGAAGAAATCATTCGGTACAGCCGGAGGCCCCGTGTGCGTGGGGTGCCCTGTGCGTGTGTGTGTGTGTGTGTGTGTGTGTGTATGTGCGTGGGGTGCTGACTGTGTACACGTGGGGTGCTGTGCGTGCGTGTGCGTGCGCGTGGGGTGCTGACCGTGTGCGCGCGTGGGCAACGTATGGCGAGAGTCGGGCAGGCGGCTCCGCGGG